AAAATTACTACTGATAATGAACTAAATTTAAGTTCTTAAATTACAGATGTAGAACAATCTTCATTTGTTAAACAAAGAACATTTTATTTTCTAAAGTAATATGGGACCAAAGTCAAGAATGCAATGAAATCTAGAAAGATTTTTCCAGATTTTCAGGACCTTCTATGTTACATTAATTTCACAAACTGAAAGCTATCTATTTCTAAGAACACGATGTCTGAATTTAGAATATAATAGATCAAGTATGAGAAACGTTTTGCCATAGAACAAGTAGAAAGTATTTTAGGCTTTGAAGAACCCATAGTTTTTGTTGTAATTATATTACTCATAGTATAAAATCAACCATATGTAAACAAAGATGTGTGGCTGTGTTCCAGTAAAACTATATTCATGGACATCAAAATCTGAATTTCATATAATCTTTTATGTCATGAGATATTATCCTATTATTAAATCACTCAAAATTCATCTTACCTTTCCTGTCAAACAAACATAGGCAGTAGGCTGGATTTGTTGATCCCTGCTTTAGAAAATGAGTGAATTGTGAACTTCAAGACACATCAAGAATGTCAGTGAATAATTTACCAATGTTCAAGAGTTGAACACAACATTATCTATGTACTATATATAGCAAAAAAAAGTTTATCCCATGCTTAATAAGGAGAAAACAACTGGATCCATTTAGACTGTGTGTATGCCATTCAACAAAACTGGGACTCTTCAAAAAGTCAAAGCTGTGAAAGACCAAAGAAAGAAAAACAAAAGACATGAGAAATGTTCAAGCATCAGAAAATATAAAAAAATAAAACTAATAGGTGGTCTTTGTTTGGAGTCTGTATTAAAACTAAAACAACTAAAAGAAGTATTTGGGTATTTATTAAATCTTAATATGGATTACCAGATGATACAGTCATATCAATGTTAGATTTCTTGAGTATGAAGATGGTATTATATTCTTGTAGAAAATCATTCCTGCCTTTTTGCTCCTAGGATTCAATCAAACAGAAAATTTGTATGTGTGTGGAGGAAGGAAGAAAGAAAGGAGCAAAGAAGAGACATGAGAGAAAAGGGAATGGAAGAAAAGGGAGAGGAGGAAGTAAATATATCCAAATATTAACAATAAATAAGTCTGCATAATGATTATGTGAATGTCCCTCTACTATTCTTTTGGCGTGTAAAAAAGCCAAATTTTCATACCTGTAGAAATGTCTAAAATTTTCAAAATAAGAATTAGGAAAATTACATATTATAGTGATAGCTGTAAATTTACTTGGTTAAAATTATATTTGAAATATAAGAATTGTATGGTGTTTAAAAAATCAGTTATGCCTTAAAATTCTAAAATAATTCCAACTTCGTTTGGTAATTAAAGCAATTTTATCTGTAAGAAACAGCTGGATCATTTCCCTCTGCTTTGATATTCTCAACTATTTTGTCCCCAGGAATTATATAGAATGGGTAAAATGTAAGCTGGATGAAACAAACACAACAAACTAATTAAACCCAGGTTTTCAATAGCCCTAACTCTAAATTGTTTGTTTGTACAAAATGCATATTTATTCAGTAACCAGAAACCAAAAAAATTTTCAGTTATTATACCCCTCACTTCATTTCTAGTACTCAGATCTAGATAATTTGGCAGACTTCTTTGCTCACCATGTTTTTGAAAACAGAGAAACTAGACAAGAAAAAAGTGTGTGTGTCATCATTTAATTTGGAGAAAAGTCAGAATTGCTCTGTTCAATGACATGACAGGCACTTGAAGAAAACCTGTAAACCTTTGGAGCTAGAGACCATGTTTCAATTGCCTTGCTACATCTGTTGTTATACCTGGTGCCTCGTACAGCCACTCAAAAGTGAATGAGTGAATCAATGAAACATAAATGGAAAGAGACACAGTGTAGATTTGGATTCACTATAAGGAAATGATTCAAATGACTCCAGAACTGAACCTGGACCACTGAAGGAAGTCATGGATTCTTATTTATTTGCTTATTTATTTATTTATTGAAATTTACAATAATAGAATAAACATATATCTTGAATATAGAAGACTTATCACTTAAATGTGCAGATACTTTCTACATGTATAATGATGAAGACAGTGCCTCAGTTTTAAGGATTCTGTCTATTAACATTCAGTCAAGTTGAAATGAAGCTGAAAGTCATGGCAGATGAAAGGCAGGAAGAATGGTTGGGAAAGGATGAATAACTGGCCTCAATTGCCTTCAGGGTTGCCATGAAAAACAGTAAAAACATTCTGAGCTGCTCCATAAGACAGAATTAGGACTAGCAACTAAAATCAGAAGGTGGGCTGGGGAATTACCTGTGCATTTTAGCAACTTATGAAAGAATATTCTAGCAGAGACATGCCCAGCAGTCGAATGGTTTGCTTTAATAGATAACAAACCATTGTTCCAGGAAGTGTGCAGGCAATGTTGGTGGAACTGGTGTTGAGGGAACTGGGGAGGTAATATCAGCATGCAGTGTGAGATTGAGATTATTCCACCTCTTCTAACTGGAAATGGCATTGCTCAATAAGCCTGGAAGTCAAGATAAAATTCTGGTGTCAACATTAAGTAGATAATTAAAAAAATACGTTCAACACATCAAGGTCTTCTATGAGTTTATAATAGGTAAATAGAACAACATAATCAAATTAATTCTTTGAATGTTTTACCAACAGATAAACATTTGACATTAATAAATACCTAAGAAAAATGGAGGTTGTTTCAGTGTGTAAAATAATACCATATTCAAACAGAGGTACAAAATACTCTTAGGACTTTTTCTTTCTCCACATCCCTGGGCCAATATACTGTATATTTTACTACTGTCTCATCCTAGTTTATTTTCTATGGCTGCCTCCTAACTAGACAATTACCTCTTATATCTCCCCACAGTGATTCTCGTGAACACTTTTTGGACACTGCAAAGAAAACACCTTTAGAAGAAATCAATAACTATTCAAAAGCCTATAATGAGCCACTGTTTAAGAAATTTATATATGGAAAAGATTATAAGGGGCACAAAATATAAAGTGATAAAAGTGGTAGAATTACAAACAAGCAGTGTTTAAGTGTTCTAATGTTCTAATTACAAAACAAAATCAGGTGCAAAACAAACACTGTTCAAAATTCCTACTACCTAGTGTACTCCATACAAAAGCTCCAACTTAACTTTCAAAAATTCCCTCCACTAAATCCTTCTAATTGGCCTTTTCTCCTATTATCCCTGCAATAAAACTCCACTAATATTCTATTGGCTAACTTTCTGCTTTCTCCTAACCCTTTTTCTTCTTGTCCCTCACTGCTGCTTTTTTTCATACTTCTCACAGTAGTTTCTCTCTTCCTCCTTGTAGGTCACCTGCTGCGTGTGTTTTGGTATTCACATTGTCTAACGTAGGTAAGCCTCTAGGGCAGGGCCTTTGTTTTTTAACCTTTCATTCCTTGAACCCAGTGCAGTGTCTTGCAGATAAGGAATGATAATGAACTATCTGCTGAATGAATGATTGTCATTTTTGTGACATGTGAAACCATAACACTCTTTCCCCTTTTGATATCTTATCATTGATTATATGTTATAGGTGGTTTTATACAGCATTATGTCTTTCTTGTCATGTAGATGTTTTAATGTAAGTCTCTCAAAGTGAAGAGATAGATATGTCGTCCATGTTTCCTAATTCAATATTTCCATTCAGCACATTACTATAAAATACCTACTGTGTGAGGCACTTTAGTAGGAATTATAATATAAGTTTACAACTACATTTAACAAGACTCAGTAGAGATCAAATGAAATATTTCTTTGCTGCTTTCTTTTACACAAGATAAATATACTTGAAATCTATAATTTAAATAAAAATAATAGATTACTTTTTCTATACTCTTCTAACATCTTTCTAAAAAAAACCCATCCAAAGCAATTGTTTAAATAAATAAAGACACACAAGAGTATCCTGAAATCCCACATCAATTAACTCTTAATAATAAAAAGAAATAAAATATATACTATGAATTTTATTGGTTAGAGGAACTGGCCTTTAATTACTTGCTATTTCAAAATGAGTGGCCAGAAAGATTTTAAGAAGGCTTAAAAGGCTTCATGTCTAGTGTGTAGTTTTAGTAATTTTAAGCCTCTTATGCAATATGGACATTGCAGAGGCTATTAGTTGTTATATTTTTCAGAATCAGATGCAGCAGTTTGGTAAGGAATATAGGTAGAAGAGATCACTAATTTTCCTTTTCCCCCAATAAACTATTGTTATCAAGCCAATTTTAATTACCATGCAATCTAATGAATTTAAGGCTTATATTTTCCACATCACTAGACATCATAAACATGAAAGCATTTTATACTGTCATTATACATCAATGTTTGTACTTGGTTATAGATATATACAGAAATTATTCACATGTCTTAACCTTGCTATTTCCTCCTTTCAAACTAACATACTTTTACGATGAAAGCAGCTTTTTAATAAATGGTTATAAGAAATACAAGCAAGGCACACTTTTTAAAATAAAAAACACAACTTTTTTCTCATTACCACCTAAAGAAGCATTGAGAAACAAAATGTTTTACATATTTTAATAGTTGAATGTCACCAGTTCATAATACACAACACTGTTAGAGTTGTTTCTTGAAGTGCTGCATAGATCATTATTTAAATGAAATAAATAGATAGTGCTTTTAAAAAGTCGCTTAATTTGGAAAGAAGAACCAGTGTTCTTTATGCCAGAATCAAATGAATTGTTTGCTTTTTAGGTAAACCTCTTGCAATAGACATAGGTATCATACTATTAAAAAAAAATCTAGGATACATGAAATTGGTCAAGTACTGGCAGGAAGGGGTCGGGAGTCATTCCAGACAGTGAATTTAATGGGCCATCCATTTTGGTGAAGTATAGACCTTTAAGGAGCAGATAGGAAAGGGGAGAAGTGGGTTGACAGAGGTAGTTTGGGACAGGAATCCGTGGGAGAACAAGCAGCTTTGTTGAACTTCAAAGATGATCACCTAAATAGAACCATTTGCAGACATCCAGATCACAAAGCCCACGTGGACAAACGGCATTCAGAAGGAAGATTCATCTTAGGAAAGTCAATGGGACGAACGGCAGTGACAACATGATGGAATCAGAGACCAGTCCAGGGCTGGAGGTTACAGCCAGGAGCCCCAGGTTAGAGCCAGGCTATCTATAAGAAACAAAGAAGGGACAAGTAAGGTTTCAGAAGTGTCTTCATTTGCAAAACTAAGTCCTTTAAGCACCATGAATGAAGGGGGCTAACATTTGGGGATTACCTGCTAATGTTCTGTAATGAAGGAATTTATAAAATACAAGTCATGAATTTAATAGCTTAAAGTTCACATTACTTACAAAAATATTTCATTATAGTTGTGAAGAATACATTTCCTTTAAAGATGTAGTGCTAAAGAAAACAAGAAAAATGAAGTTTGACTTTTTCTCTGGGCCATCCACTTCTTTGTGTTTGAACTCAGCTTTAAACACTCCAGATAAGTTCAAGTTTGTATGAAACTTGGAGTAGCTGATATCAAGTGACACATCCATGTATAAACAATGATGCACAGATTGAGAGCCTTAGCTCCTGCTTCTGACCCTTCCCTCAGTGACTTTTTTTTTTTTTTTTTTTTTTGGGTCCGGGTCCGGTCATGGGGCCTGAAATCTGGGCCTGGGCGCTGTCCTTCAGCTCTTCAAGGATAGTGCTCTACCACTTTAGCCACAGCACCACTTCCGGCTTTTTTCTTTTTGCTTATGTGGTGCTGAGGAATCGAACCCAGGGCCTCAGGCATGCAAGGCAAGCGCTCTACCACTGAGCCACCTTCCCAGCCCTCCCTCAGTGACTTTATGTGTAGTATTGAACAACTGCCCTATTATACGATACTGAAATATTCATAACATTGTTATAATCCTAAATGTTCCCATTCTTGACTATAAAATGGTATAATTATGATTTCTAGCTCAAATACTAATGTGTTCCATTTAAGGTAAGACTTCCCTGTGGAACTGAAACCCAACTCAATTATTTTGGTACATCTGATGGCTTAAATAAATTTGTTCCAAACTCAGTCTGTTCTGCTTATTTCTCAATGGCTAAAATTAATTGGTCAAATGTGAGGAATATTTAAATGACAGGTTAGGGCAATGCAGGATGCAATTGTGTTAGGTCTTCAACTCTCAACTAAGGTAAGGTTTTGCTTACTGTGGTTTAAACTGTTTCAAGAGTGTGATATTAGACCATTTTCTTACCTATCTAAAACCAGATATTCTCATCTTGCTAGCTTACTATGTTTTTTCTACTCACTTGCAATGCCTTATAAGAGAAAAAAAATATTTAACAAAATGTGGTCTGGCTGAACCATAGGAAGTTTGGGAGAGAAGAAAAGTTAGCAGAATAGGGGAGATGGACAGAAACAGATGGAACAAAATTTGGCACAGTAAAATAATGTAGTAATTCAAGAAAGCATGCTGCATTGTTCAAATGCTGAGGACATGATTCATCTGAAATCTGGCTTCTGAGTAGGAAATCCTAAGGTGAGGCAAATCTGGTTTTACTGAAAGCTGGCATTCAATTCTCTCTGGATAATCAATTCTTTCAACTTGGCCCACTTGGAAGTATTCGAACCTGGCTGAGGCACAAATTCAGAGTGTGTGTGTATGTGTGTGTGTGTGTGTTTATCTGTGTATAAGAAAGAGAAAGACTATGTTGAAAAAAATCTTTGTTATTTAGCATGGCAAGGCTAAGTTGTTCAGAAATGCTGGATAATTAAAACACACAACATAACCTTGATTTATTAAAGTAGTTTTAAAGGTAAATTTTATAAAACGTCTAATGACATATTAATATACAATCCCCAGAGGTAGTTTCTTAAACATGCTTGGCCAGCATTGAGAAAGACCACTCAGTGTGAATCCACTTAAGAGACTGAAAATCCATGTTGTGTACATGAGCAATGATTGCTCTTGTAGCTTTCCGTTTGTAAAACCTGAGCAATAACACTCTGAACGGAATCTGTGTGTGTTTGAGCCTACAGAAATAAAAACAATTGTGTAAAATCAAAAAGTCTGTGGGCTAACAACTATCACATTTACAGACCAATAAAGTAGGCAAAGCAAACTAAAAATGTCTAATGGAAATAAATGCATCTAAGTCAATATAACCCACTCTACCCACACCACACACACACACATACACACATCTAAGTAAATATAACCCACTCTACCCATCCCCCCCCACACACCCTAAGACCCCAAAACATCATCATCAAAGCAAACCAAAAGGAAAAGAAAAACTGTTCACCCTAGCTGCATGTGATGAGTTAATTTTTTTATACCATAGGATTTATCCAGCCTGAAGTTTAGGGTTAAACCATTCATCAAAGATCAGAGGCTTATGATGAGGATTATGAAGAAATAACTGTCAGAATACAGCAAAAAGATTAGTGCAAAGTACATCTCTTAGGCAGGTCCTAGGAGGCACTCCAGACATACATTATGTGCTTCCTCCAAATTAGGCAGAGAGAGCTGGATCTATCCAGTTACCTTGCCTTTGAAGTGATTTGCTGTAACTGACCTCTCTATTTTTATAGAAACATGACACATAAATGAAAATAGTGAAAAGCACAGCAGTTTGTCTGGAAGTTGTGCAAATGCATACTGTTAGATCACGTTAAAGCTTCCCAAACAGTTTCAGCAGGTTTTTAATTAGAACGTAGTCAATAAAACCCTTTTAAAATTTTGGGGAAAAGATTTATGACTGTATTAGTAGACAGTATTCTCAATTCGAACTGATATTTCTTCTTGATAGAATTGTAATCATTTCGTCATCTGAGAATTTATATCTAGAAAAAAGCCTAACCAATTGCATATGGTAGATTTTATTGTCCTGAGAAAAACAGTACCCCAACTGATGGTTTCAAATCAAATGGCTTTAAAAAGCATTGCCTTTGCTGTTGTTTTTCTTGAATATACTTGGAAGAATAATGATAGCAGTTAAGATACAACAACTTTATTTTGTATCTTTGAGATCAAATACTGAAGGCCTGGCAATCATTCCAGATTAAATAACTTGTCCAAGTGATGTTAATAATATGTGAATATTTACTCCCAAGTATCTGATGCTAATGACTGAATAGGACTAGTAAGTATAGCTACTTAAATAGTTCTAGTCACTTGGGGGCAATGTGAGTGCTACAGAAGTAACATTGGTTATTTCTGCCTTTGCCCAAGATGTCTACACATCATGAGAGCTCAACAAAATCTTGCTGACCGGCAGGCAGCAGGCAGTCCAGCTGATACTTTTAGACCGTCTCTTCTTGTAAATGTGAGGATTACATAGATCCATCAGCACATTCACATCCCTCAAGTCTAAGATTGAGCAGCTCATCATTTACATTTAATCTCAATTCTATTTCTCTGTAAGGGAGAGAAGAAACTCTCCGAGGATCAAAAAAGAAGAATGCATCCTAGAGGCTGCTCCAGTACCAAAGCTTCTCAGTTCTGGATCTCAGCATGACTGGTGACTTGAGGGTCACAGTCACATGATGTCACGCTCAGAGTGGTGTTGCTTTCAAGCTTTTATCCCCTTTCAGCCAGGCTCTACCAGCCCTTCTGCAGAGGTTGGCAAGGCCCACAGTACAATCAGTTCTAATAGAACTTGTTTTGAAGCGGCTTATGGAATTGCAGTTTCTCTCACTTAATGGTCAGTTTTACTGCATACTGATGGCGAATGTGATTATAGGGTGGATACAACTCACAGAAAATACATTTCTCTCTCTCCTACTTTTGTTCCCTCTTGCAGCCAGTTGTAAATAGAATCTAAAACACAGAAAATTAGTTGAGCAATATTAGCAAGTAGGATGCCTTTCTTCAACTTTGCATACTGAGTTTATTTTTAGGGTATATGCATGGTATAGATTTCCCCCCTCACTCCCCATTTCTAGCAGCTCCACACAGAATCACACATTTTAATGAGCTCGGGGCACAGGTGTTGCAGGAAAAAAATAATGATGTTTGCCATTCATCTTTCAAATTAAATAATGTGTTTTTAAATAGTAACTTTTTTCATAATACATTATGGGAACAACATTTATCTGTCACATTTTAAAAGATGTATTTGTAATAAATGTAAATTACTTTTAGAAAATCAGTAATTAGGCTCATCAAAAAATAAACAATCTGCCACAAAAAAGATAATCTTTAGCATAGTTAAGTATAATAACTGTTATTTGAATAAGTTAACAAATTAGGGTAGATTGCTTCTGTAATTCATTTCCTATAGCACGAGTTTAGGTTACGGCATTAGGCCTCTGGAGTGGGGGTGGAGATGGCACTAAGCACCTCACACCTTGGTGAAATGCAACTCTCACGTTTGAAAGCTCAAATGTTCTTCTTAAAACTTGATTGAGAAAGTATATTCATCACTGGGGTTTAGGAATGGGAAATAAGAAAATCTTTGTGTCGCTTTCAGAGAGACATCATCATCTCAGAATTATCAATCAATAGCTGTCTTATTTAATATGAAGAATGGAATGACTTTTTAAAAAAAATTGATGGAAATCAGCCTGTCTCCTTTAGGCAAAATTCAAAAATTCTGTTTTGATCAAGACGCCATTAACTTGTCATGTATTCTCTCTGCATTGGCTTTCTGTGCCTGTTCTCCATCTGTGTGTGGATAAATAAGAGCCTCTTCTTTAACATCAACTTTCCCCTCCTATTTGGATTCCCAGACATGGCCGTGATTAGGAACGGTGACAGCACAGCCTTACACTGGGGAAGCGAACGTGATGATAGTTACATCAGACAGAAGCATAAAAGGGAGGCCCAAATCAGAAGACAGAGCCTTTAGCCTAATCATTGTTTGTCTTCAGGCATTGAAGGGGATGGCTGGGCAGCCAGAACTGAAGTGGGCACTGTTGCTACTACGCATGCATTCTGATCACCAAGTGTAAGTGCAACTTGGATAACCCTTTCTTTTCCTCCGTTGGTGGAAGACTTTGCAGCCCTAAATTGCTTTTCTACTTTCTCAAATTTTGTATTCCTGCCAGAATGATGGAGTAAAGATATTGTCACTAAAAATGTCAGTTTTTAAACTGTTTTGTCCTTTCTGCTGCACAGTTACTTTCCTTATTGAGAGTATTTCTCCTATCTCACTAACTTGTTCGGATAAACACGTGCCAGGACTGGTCATTCTGACTAGTCTTTTCTTCTATTGTGATTTCGTGGGTACAGACTCATATTAAAAGTATACATATCACGCAAAGACTTATACATACCTTTCAATGAGATGATTTTCATGCTTGTAGGGGTGTTACATTCTACCTATGCATATTTTTATGATGTTCTTCTTGTATGCTTAGAAGATTTTCTTTACAGGTTAAAGCTTGGGGACTGGGATGTAACACAACCTTGTCTTTTGGCTGACTTGCCTTCAAGGAGAGGTCAAGAACACTAGATTTGGCTGAAGCAGTGTCATGTTCTGGCATTCCTGAAACATCTGGATTTCCTGAACTTTCTTTTTCACTCCCCACCCCTGAAGGAGTAATTATTGAGCATTCTGCACAGCCTTGGGAGGACTGGGACCAATCATCTACTTCCCTTCTGATGTCAGCTTCTTCCTGAGGGGGAGGTCTTGAAAGAGGCACCACAGGGGCATCATCAGCTAGGAGAGAACTATCATTGAACATAGAAGAGCTTGCCATTGCTTGTGCTGACCCAGTAGCTTCATTGGGAACCGCAGCTTCCTTTGGAGAAGCACTAGAGAAACAGGGTTCCTCTCCATTAGGCTCATCCTCAACACAGGCCTCAAAGAAATATTCAATGTCTTCTTTGTCATCTAAGCCCGAGTCGGTTGTGTCTAACGGCAATGGAGTATTGCTTTTCTCATCTATGTAACTGGTAACCTCCCCACAATCACTGTCATGAGATGAAAGAGACAAGTAGGAATAAAAGTCCCCCTTTCTTAGCTGGATGGGCCGGTGAGAATGTTCTAACACTTTCTCCTTGATCTGAGTTAATGAAGTGGGGGCAGCTACCTCATTTTCAGGTTGAGATTTGCTTTTTAGGGCTGTTGAAGCCATGTCAATGATTTCCTTCACAAAGTCATGTACTGAGCAATCTTCAGCATCTTTTTGAAGGAAAACATCTGGTTCACAGTCACAACAGGAAGCATTGTCGCTGATAGAAGCATTTTCCTCTGTTTCATTTTGTTCAAGTGCTAGGCAGCAACCAGCAGATTTTCCAGCCACACTTGGCACATCATTAGATGAAGATTTCCGTATATCACTGTCTTGTCTGCTGTTAACTCTGGTTTCTAAAGCCATTTCTGGGCAAGACTTCTCAATAGGAGTGCAATCAGCACTTTGATTTTCAAAATGGTGGTGATTTGGACATTTCTTTGGAAGATGTCTAGCATTTTCTGGAACAAATTCCTTTCTAGCAATATTTGAATCATCTGAGCCATCCACAAATGTTTTACACATACAATGCTCACTTTCTGAAATCTTTTCCTCATTTGAACCAAGATTCTCTGATGTCTTTGAATTCTCATTCAGTTTAGCCTTTTGCTTTTCTGGAACACTTTCAACATTGCCATTTTCCATGTCTGCTACATATGGATCCTTACTAACTTTGAAAATGTTTTTCTTATTTTCACCTTTAGTCTCAAACTCATGAGTATGGGACGAATTCTTACCATTTCCATTATTTTCGGAAAGACATTTTATGGAGCTGTTTAGAAGGGCCTCGATGTTGAGCGTATCAGAGGGCTTAGTCACCTCAGTACTGCTCCCATCTTTACTGCCCTTCATATTATTGCTGAAGTTGCACCGTTTCTTATCTCTTGTCATGAAAAGTTTTGGCCTAATCCAGGTCTGCAATTCATTCTTTATATAGTCCAGTCCTGACATCAAGTTACATTCTTCATAAATTTCATCATCAGTTGCAATACTGGAGTCATCATCCTCATCTTTAATACACAGTTCCTCTTCCGTCAACGTGAGTGTAGAGCTGGAGAGCAGGTCACTGTCATCTTCATCATCAGTGCAAGCAGAGGTGCAGGAGACATTAACGATCATGCTGACATTGACATCACTTTCCTCAGCCACCGAACGATTCAGGCGCTTCCTGAAGGATGAGTTTGATTCCGGGATCTTGTTCTTGTGCAACACAATATCCTCTGAGCAAAGAGAAAGCTCATCACTGCTACTAAGTTCTGTAAGAGATGCTGCTGAATCTTCATTGATAGAAGATGCTATGTCCAATGACATCTGGCCAGTAAAGGCCATCTTTTGAGAACTGCTTTGGAGAGTGATGTCAGAGACACTTCTCTTTATCTTTTGCTCCGAAGGGCTCTGGATATTCTCCAAACGATTCAGAAGATCTAGTGTCCTTTTACTCAGTTCACCAACAGAGCCACTGCTCACACTTAAGTCCCCAGAGCTGTGACAGCTAAAAAGATCTTCATTGCTTTTATAGGATGTCAACCAACTTTCTAAAGAAGTACTTCTCTGGAGGTTGTCACTGCCATTTTTAAAGACGCCCAATCCAAATAAATCACCCCCTGGAGAGAGGGACTCAACCGATGAACTACGAGATAAAAGGCAGAGTGGTTTGGCATTCTGAATGCCGGCAAATGTCTTCTCTATATTGGTACTTTTATAGGAATTGCGATCCATTTCATGGGATGCACTTGCCAAAATCCTTTCGTGGGGAGGAGCATCTGGTTGTAGCTCTGAAGTCTGATGTTTAGATTTGCAGGATTTTTTGTCAAAGTGAAAACCATGAGGAAGGGGATCCTCCACATGTGCCTTTCCATTTTGTGACTGTTTCATTATCATTGGTAATTTGAGTTTTGAGCCTTGGAGGTATGAGTAATCATAAAATGTAAACACATCATGTTTTCCTTGTGATTCTTCTCCCAAACAATCAGGGGTATGTTTGGTAACACTGTTTAAATCTCCAGCTTTTCCATTTATACAACCCAGTGGTGAGATGGATGACTGAGAGTTATTTGGAAGCTTAATGCATTCCTCTTCATCTTTAACTTGTTGCTTTAACATGTTAACTGCAACCCCCAGTTTTGGGTCCAGATGTTTGGTTGCAAGGTTACTCAGGGACTCATCTACCACACTGAGCAAGCACAGTTCAGAGTTGGTAGTTGTTTCCGTGTCTCCTTCACTGACAATTCCACTCTCACTGCCAGAATTCTGGCTCATGTCTCTACTGAGGCACAGGCAGGGCTTCCCCAAACTGGAGCCCCCTAAAAGATCAGGCAAAGATTTTGTAGATGAAAACGAAGAGTCTTTACTGAGACTCTTAGTCAAAACACCACTCTGTGTCATGCCAATGAACTTTTGATTGTTCTTCAGAAATGGCATATGGCTGTCTTCACAGAGTTCAATGTTGTGAAGGCTGTATACTTGGTAAATGGGTGGGCTGGAGGGTGCAGCAACGTTTGAGGTATGATGAGATTCTCCATGGTCACTTGCTTCCTCCTCATAACCACGGTCTTCACTTCCTGTCTCTTCAAGCTTCAATGAAGGCATGACAGGCTGGAGTTTTAGATCTGGGTCGTTTAATTCTTCATTCAAACTAATTAACTTGTTATTTATATCTGTTTCATCCCATTCCAAGGCATCCTCACTCATCCCATTTAGGTCCATCAAACCAGGTTCGATCACATTCAATGTCTCCTGTGTGGAGGGAAAAAAGAAAATGAGAATGAGTGAACACAGCAGAAAAAATTTCCTCAAAATCTCTTGGGAGAGTCAGGAAATAAAACTCTCTTAAGCATGAACTTGAAAGACAGAATTATCAACACTTCTCCTCTCTGATATAGCATCTAAAATTATGAGATAGAATTTTATTTCAATAGTAACTTGTCAATGCAGGCAATAACATAGATTGAAATTTAAGATTATTATAGTCAGACAGTAATCTATGGAATTAACCATTTCCTATTGATTGTTGCACACTGTAAATCTTAAATAGGGTGAAGACAAAAGTGCAAGGTGCATGAAGGTGAAACATAGTTTGGAATCTCTCTCAAGTCCTGTGTACACGTAGCCTACTGTAATTCCTGTGTCTATGCTGGACATCTGCAGCCACATGCGACAAATTCCTTCCTTCCCCAACTCCTGGCTTCTGTACTTGAAACACCTTTGGTCTGGGGTCTTAGAATAGAGTTGTAGCCACTATTTAGAGTCATTTGTGATCCAGAGGACCTTTACTGTATATTCCTTTCCCTTTCAGAGGTCTGCCCCTTCAGCACTTGGCCTTGCTTTCAGTCAGACTCAAGATGAGAAACATCTTGAGCTTCCACAACATGGTTTCCTCATCTACCTTGAGTGTCAAAGAACAATCATTTCATTGTTGTTCCCCAGGCCTTCTCTTTCCCACTCTTCATCTGTGTCAGAGATTTCACTTTCATTCTCACTAACTAAACTCACAGTTTGCCTCTATTTCTCACAGGCAGAGTCTCTTCTTCCAACTCTCCTCCTGCCTCAGAATAATAACTGTCTGAAGGTTTTCCTGACTCCCAAGGATATAGTAACCTAGGTGCTCTTACAATATTTTCTGCCTGTCCATTTGAGACTCTTGATATTTCTTTGGACTTCTTGCTTTGACTCTTGTTTGGGTAGAAATTGTTGCATTCTGGGACAGTAGCTAGATGAGTCCCTAGGTCCTATCAAGATTCCTTCACTATCCTTACTGGCTACCAGCTATTTGGATTCATGCTGCAGTTGAGAAAGGTGGTGAATGTATTGTCAGCCCAATAGGCCTACCTACAGACACAAACACAAATAGCTTATGCTGGACAGTTAGATGGATGAGCATGGCTCTTGAACTAGCAGACTGGTTGAAGTATTTGTTGCTGCTTACCAACATCACAATATTGGACAAGTTTTTTCTAAGTACCAATTTTATCACCTGAGAGGAGAGAGAAAACTATCTTTTAAGTTAATACTAAGTATTAAATGAGATGAAAATTGTGGAAATGCCGAGGCAGTCAATATTAGATAGCTGTAATTGTTACTGTACTTATAATTGCTCTCCAGTGGCCCAGAGTCAGTTTATAAAGAGTTCTATTTCATTTGTCCCTTCTTACCATCTCTTTGAAACTGTTATTAAAACCAAAAAGATTAGGTAGAGACATGATAAGTAGAAAGAGATGTCACACCAATAATAGTTTGCTTTTTGTCATTGTAAGTTCAAATAATTTCAAATGTCTAGCCAGAAAACAGTCTATGATGCTTTTATGCCGTAATCATAGGAAGAAAGATTCACCAGGAGCACATTAGTGGGACTGTCCCAAAGCTCTCAATGCTGTCTTAAACTCATCGTTAAAGCACACCACACAAGCACATTAAGTATAAAATACCCATTAGTGCTTTATTATACTGGGTATGTAAGAGATTATCTGCACAGCTTGCTTAAGTGTAAAAGAGTCCCGTTACAAAACAAACATTAATTAAAAGATAGTTTTTAATTTTCTAACAGAAATCTTTCCTGCTGCCAATGTTGCCGCAGTTAATCTAGTATACCAGCAGCCATCACAGTCACTTAGATAGGGAGTGCATTTACTGTGATGAATTTTTATTAGAATTTCTGTTTATTCTTTGCTTGCTGATAAAGGAAAGGACTAATGACCAGTTTATATGGCTAATGAATGTTAAAATCTTCAGCTGTAGGAACAATCAATCAGTCTAATCAAATAGTATATTAATTTCAAATACTGTCTTGCCTGAGACCATATTCTGACAGTGCTAATAAACAATTGCACTAGGCTTTCAAAGGAGTTCTCTCTGTGACTCTTTGGTTGACTACACATTTTCTAGGAGGAAACTCAGAGACTCCAGTGGAGATGCACTGGGTGTACTGCCTAGGTGTGCCGGGAAGCTAAGTCGAGGTGATTTCTTTAACTCAAACTGGTCTTCCATGACATCATCATGATTAAATTCATCCTTTATGACCTTCCAATCCTTACAAAGGCACCTGAAAGAGTAAATCCTTTACTCAATAAAATACTTGGAACGGAAAATTTTCATAAGAAAAGATTAGATTTAGGGATATAAAAATTCTTTTTTTTTGGGGGGGGTCCGGTGGTGGGGCCTGAACTGTGGGCCTGGGCACTGCCCCTCAGCTCTTCAGCTCAAGGCTAGCGCTCTACCACTTGAGCCACAGTGCCACTTCCGGCTTTTTTCTTTTTGCTTATGTGGTGCTGAGGAATCGAACCCAGGGCCTCATGCATGCAAGGCAAGCGCTCTACCACTGAGCCACCTTCCCAGCCCCAGGGATATAAAAATTCTTTAGAAAGCAGGCTGTTGCTATATAGTCTTGGTGGGCCTGGAACTTACTAACTAGCCCAGGATAGCCTCCAACTCAAGATCTTCCGGATGCAACAACTTTTTTTTGAGGTCCTCCTCAACCCTCTTTTCTATTAAAGTTACTAATGATTTCTAAAAAAAATGTTCACATGTCCATGGACTCTCTAACAGTGTCCGTAAGAAAATCATTCACTCGAGAATCACATTTTTGAATCTTAAAAATGTGTCTCATACTTCCAACCTCCTCCTTTTTTAACAAGGCACTGAACACTCTCAAGAGTCTGAGCACTGTCTTTGAGCTTTTGTGCTCCAGGCTACCACTCTATCACTTGAGCGACAGCTCCACTTACAGCTTTTTGGTAGTTAAAGATTTTCCTTCCTGAACTGGCTTTGAGTCCTGTTCATCAGATCTCTACCTCCTGAATAGCTAGGATTACAGGTAGGAACCAAAGGCACCAGGCTCCCTAATTCTTTCCCAAGATCTCGATCCTCTCCATTTTACCCAGCATTCTAGATTCCAAAGAGAAGCCCCACTAAAATGGTGATGAGGTTAACTGTTAAATAGTTCTTTAGATTTACAGGACTCAGAATGTCTATGTAACTCCCTCCCCCAGTTTTTAGTTCAATAGATATGTCTATCTAGAAACTGTAGAATAAGCATCAGAAGGTTAAGATCTATTCCAAGGTTCCAGACAAAAGAATAAAGAAGATACAAAGGTGTAAAGACCCCCTTTCAGTACAACGCATGCCTGCTTGGATCCTCCTATCCTTCCCTATAAATGCTCTCAAAGATGGAGCTTTGGAGGAGATAGCCCTTCATTTTTACATATGGCTTTAAATAATCCAGTTTGCTATCAACTCTTGGGAGAATTGTTGGTCTTTGACTTGAAGATAGCCTAGATCTTTATTCTGGTAACATCTTCTTGCTTTGGGTTAAACTCTGGCAGTATTTTAAATACAATTTCCAATGCCTTAACTAGAAGGTATACTTCCCAGGCAAGAAAGTGGTAAAAGTTTCTAAGAGGAAAGATGGGAAATAATATGTGGGCCATGTCCCTAGTTCTTTTTGCTTTATTGTTCAGAGTAGCATTTTTTTTTTTTTTTTTTTGCCAGGGGAGGGGGTTAACTTGAACCATGATCTTTCTATCTATGGCTGCAAAATAGGATTGCATGTGCACACCACCATATATGACTTGTTTTGTTAGGATGGAGTTTCCCTAACTTTTTTTCCTTGAACTAATTCATAGAGTTGGTGATGTTTTTAAAAAGGCACAAATGTAGCTGAGCACCAGTGCCTCACTCTGTAATCCTAACTACTTGAGAGGTTGTGATCCGAGGATTGTGGTTCAAAGCTAGACTGGAGAGAAAAGTCTGTGATACTCCTACAGCAAATTAACCAGCAAAAACCTGAAAGTGGAGCTGCGGCCAAGTGGTGGTATAAGACCAAACTTGATGTGAGCTCTGCTTTGAAGACCTTGTAGAATTCCACTGTAAAACCATCTGGTCCTGGGCTTTTCTTAGATGGGAGGTCTCATTGCTGTTTCTATTTCAATGCTTGATATGGGCCTGTTAGGATGGTTTAACTCATCTTGGTTTAGTTTCGGCATGTTGATATTTGCTAGAAAAAGATCCATTTCTGCCAAGTTCTCAAACTTATCAGCATAAAGGTTTGAGAAGTAGACCCTTCTAATGTTCTGAATCTTGGTTGTTTCTGTGGTGATGTTTCCATTCTCCTCTCTGAGTTTATTTATTTGGGTGTGTTCTTTTTCTGATAAGATTTGCTGTCTGTCAATTTTGTTTATTTTTTCGAAGAACCAACTCTTTGTTTTGTTGATTCTTTCTTTGTTTTTTTGGATTCTAATTCAATAATTCTGATTTAATTTTAATTATTTCTTTCTGTCTACTAGATTGGGGTTTATCTTGCTTCTCTTTTTCAAGGAGGCTCAGATGTCTCATTAAGTTGTTGGTTTCAGATCTCTCCAATTTGTTGATGTAGGAACTCAGAGCTATAAACTTGTCTCTGAGTACTGCCTTTGCTGTGTCCCAGAGGAGCTGGTAATTTGTGTGTTCATTTTTGCTGAATATCATGAACATTTGAATTTCATTTCTAATCGCTTCCATGGCCCACTGGTGATTCAGCAGTGTGTTGTTCAGCCTCCATGTGTTACAGGACTTTCTTTTGTGGCTTCTGGTTATGAGTTCTACTTTTATTCCCTTGTAGTCTGAGCGAATGCAAGGTATAACTTCAATGTTTCTGAATTTGGATAAGTTTGCTTTGTGATCTAAAATGTGTTCTATTTTGGAAAATGTTCCATGTGCTGCTGAGAAAAATGTGTATTCTGATGCTGCTGGGTGAAATATTCTGT